AAGTAAAACCGGGAATTATTACAGTTAAGCATCATTATACACTATGCAAGAGAGAAAGAACAATAGTAATGGAGACTGCGACCGGTGAATTCTCCTGGCGACGATAGCGCCATTTTTAAAAAAAAGTATTCGACGTAGTGCGGAAAAATTTTGTCGAACATCGAGAAACGTTTCGACGTGGCGCTTCGAGCGACGGAATTTCGAGAAAGTTAAAATATTTCGTTACGGTGAAATCGCAATTAAAGAAATGAATCTTCCATCTTCGATAAAAAGAAATACTTGAGTACCATAAAATAAATGGAATCGAACCGAAGCGTCCTCGAGTGTTCCACGAAATTCCGATAAAAATGCAAGATTCACGAGCTCCGAACAAATTGCTCCGTTTCCATGAAAGCCACGAGTTCGCCGCGTCGCAGTCGCCGCGCAGCGCCGCGTGGTTCGAGGCAGAAGCTATTGGCCGCTCAAGGTCACTGTGTGACGTCCCCCCACCGCGTCGTTCGGTTCAGTCCAACGCCATCTAGCGGGTAAAGCGTGAACCAGTGACCACTAGCGCCAAAAGCGCAGTTCTGGACAGAAGTCGAGCAAAATTTTCTTCAAATAACCTACAATCGAGCATTAAAAATCGAAATTTTGCATCTGTTCGTCGTAAAATATTCAACTCCATAATTGAAATTTTTTTATTTCCATCGACGGACGAACGGTCATCTTTTATTCGAAAACTGGTTCGTCAAAGTTTTGCTCGTCTCTGGATTCGTCTTATTGTAAAACGTAACGCGCAGACTCGAAGCCTCTCGAGCAATCGGAAGTAATCGAAGAAGAGCGACCACGTCCGAATGTCCAGTAATTAAAATTATCGTGCGTTTTTTTTCTCGTTTTCGAGGCGAGCACAACAACGGTACAAAAAGAAAAAATAAAGAAACGGAACAAAAAAAAAAGAGTCGAAGCGAGGAGAAACGAAGTGACGAAGAAAGGGAGAGTAGCTCGAAATTCGTACAGGAGCGGTGGTGCTACCCCACCTATCGGGGAACGTTCCACTTACGAGACGGATGCGCGCGCATCTCGACGCAGTAAACGGTTCCTGTGTGAATTTCGTTTGGCCGCGACGAGTCTCGAGCGCGGAGAAGGAACGATGATCTCTGCAGCGACGAGGGTTAGGAAAACAATGGACGACTGATCAGAGGCGTCGTTCTTGGTCCACGCTCGCCTTCATCCACGGTTGAGCAATATCACGATGAACGGAACTCGTGTTGTATTTATAATCGATTTTCAGCATTTTTCGACGACCATTTCTTCTTAATTGCCCGCGCGCCCCCCACCCCCCGCGCGGACAGACCTTGTAAAACAAGTCCCGCATCGTCGACACTAACTGTTCGTCCTTTTTAACAAATATAACAAAACTTACGTCTTACTAATTACGAACGGCGACTCGGGAAGCCATTGCAATCGGGTTCGATCGAAGCGAATCGAAACGGAATCGGATGGTTCGCCATTTTGAACGAACGATTGCCTTGGCGTTCTGCATTCGCGAAGTGTTTTGTAATTCCTCGTCGAACTGCATTTTTCAGAAATCGTTTACGATAAAACTAGAACAATTTTAATGTTTCTCTTTGGTTTTTAATTAATAAAGATACTCGGTGAAAATACTGTACTCGAGTCTTCAAGTTGCTCGTAATTTTTAGGGGCAAAGGTGAAGGAGCAGTGAGAAATTTTACTTCGCGGCAAAAAATTGAATTCAACGATTTAACGTTCGTTCCGTCAGATGGCGCACAATTCTATGCAGCCTGATGGCGACATCTGAAAGAGTTACTCGAAACGAGTGCATCGGATGCAGTCGGTATTGCAGGAAAATGCACTTGCACGGTTGGTATAGTAGGAAAACTGACGAGGCACAAACGAGGTATGTCTCGTCTGTGCTTTCAGAATAATCCAGACCTAACCTAGTCCTAACCCAGTCCTAATCCAGTCCTAACCCCCACCCCCCATCGTCGACACTAACTGTTCGTCCTTTTTAACAAATATAACAAAACTTACGTCTTACTAATTACGAACGGCGACTCGGGAAGCCATTGCAATCGGGTTCGATCGAAGTGAATCGAAACGGAATCGGATGGTTCGCCATTTTGAACGAACGATTGCCTTGGCGTTCTGCATTCGCGAAGTGTTTTGTAATTCCTCGTCGAACTGCATTTTTCAGAAATCGTTTACGATAAAACTAGAACAATTTTAATGTTTCTCTTTGGTTTTTAATTAATAAAGATACTCGGTGAAAATACTGTACTCGAGTCTTCAAGTTGCTCGTAATTTTTAGGGGCAAAGGTGAAGGAGCAGTGAGAAATTTTACTTCGCGGCAAAAAATTGAATTCAACGATTTAACGTTCGTTCCGTCAGATGGCGCACAATTCTATGCAGCCTGATGGCAACATCTGAAAGAGTTACTCGAAACGAGTGCATCGGATGCAGTCGGTATTGCAGGAAAATGCACTCGCACGGTTGATATAGTAGGAAAACTGACGAGGCACAAACGAGGTATGTCTCGTCTGTGCTTTCAGAATAATCCAGACCTAACCTAGTCCTAACCCAGTCCTAATCCAGTCCTAACCCCCACCCCCCATCGTCGACACTAACTGTTCGTCCTTTTTAACAAATATAACAAAACTTACGTCTTACTAATTACGAACGGCGACTCGGGAAGCCATTGCAATCGGGTTCGATCGAAGTGAATCGAAACGGAATCGGATGGTTCGCCATTTTGAACGAACGATTGCCTTGGCGTTCTGCATTCGCGAAGTGTTTTGTAATTCCTCGTCGAACTGCATTTTTCAGAAATCGTTTACGATAAAACTAGAACAATTTTAATGTTTCTCTTTGGTTTTTAATTAATAAAGATACTCGGTGAAAATACTGTACTCGAGTCTTCAAGTTGCTCGTAATTTTTAGGGGCAAAGGTGAAGGAGCAGTGAGAAATTTTACTTCGCGGCAAAAAATTGAATTCAACGATTTAACGTTCGTTCCGTCAGATGGCGCACAATTCTATGCAGCCTGATGGCAACATCTGAAAGAGTTACTCGAAACGAGTGCATCGGATGCAGTCGGTATTGCAGGAAAATGCACTTGCACGGTTGGTATAGTAGGAAAACTGACGAGGCACAAACGAGGTATGTCTCGTCTGTGCTTTCAGAATAATCCAGACCTAACCTAGTTCTAATCCAGTCCTAACCCAGTCCTAACCCAGACCTCGTCTGTGCTTTCTAACTGCCATACCGACCTGAAATTTCGGAAGTGATTTTAGCGCCCTCTTCTCGTGTTATAGCCGTAGTAAATCAGAACATATGTACGACTCTCAGTTTATTCTTATAAACTCCTTTAACAAACTCCTAGCCGTCTCCTAGCGATCAAAAACAAAAAACATTAACATTAACTTTTTCTTATAACAACCCTAACTTCAACCCTTTAATCGGTAAAGTAGAGCACAACCTCGCAACAGAAAACGCGCCTGTCGCCACAGTGTATGGCGGTCAATTGAGAAACTATTCACTGAACTAGATGGAAGAGATTAAAATTCATTTCTGAATCTGTCGGTAACGTTGCGAATGACACGAAAATGGTAATGGGGTTTCGAGACCCCATAAAAATGGGTCAAAAAAATCCATTGGGTGAAAGATCTACTCGTATACCTCGTCTCTGACAATACTCTAGAATCTTCGATGAATCAATGAGATAATTAACCCCGTAAAGTGAGAAAGCCCCCATAAAAAGTGTCCAATTTTCAAACAGTCATAACTCCTGCAATAGTGAATATATTTCAATGAAACTTTTTTCTGAAGTAGAGCTCGTGGGTACCTATAAAAAAGTATTAGACAACTTTTCTATACGGCGTCAAACAAAATTACTAAAAATCAAAAATGAATTTTTAACGAAAATCGACAGGGGAAATTGACAAATTTCAAATCACTCCGGAAAAATTATTTTTTATTCAAATTTTTTCATTAATACAGGTAAGGTAGAAAACTGTAGTTCGGTACTGTAGATAAAGTAGGAAAACGAAGATGGTTGCATCACGCATGCGCGTAACTCGAGCATGTCATAATCAGCTGATCAGACATGGGGAAATTGACAAATTTCAAATCACTCCGGAAAAATTATTTTTTATTCAAATTTGTTCATTAATACAGGTAAGGTAGAAAACTGTAGTTCGGTACTGTAGATAAAGTAGGAAAACGAAGATGGTTGCATCGCGCATGCGCGTAACAAGAGCATGTCATAATCAGCTGATCAGACATGGGGAAATTGACAAATTTCAAATCACTACGGAAAAATTATTTTTTATTCAAATTTTTTCATTGATACAGGTAAGGTAGAAAACTGTAGTTCGGTACTGTAGATAAAGTAGGAAAACGAAGATGATTGCATCACGCATGCGCGTAACTCGAGCATGTCATAATCAGCTGATCAGACATGGGGAAATTGACAAATTTCAAATCACTCCGGAAAAATTATTTTTTATTCAAATTTGTTCATTAATACAGGTAAGGTAGAAAACTGTAGTTCGGTACTGTAGATAAAGTAGGAAAACGAAGATGGTTGCATCGCGCATGCGCGTAACACGAGCATGTCATAATCAGCTGATCAGACATGGGGAAATTGACAAATTTCAAATCACTCCGGAAAAATTATTTTTTATTCAAATTTTTTCATTAATGCAGGTAAGGTAGAAAACTGTAGTTCGGTACTGTAGATAAAGTAGGAAAACGAAGATGGTTGCATCGCGCATGCGCGTAACTCGAGCGTGTCATAATCAGCTGATCAGACATGGGGAAATTGACAAATTTCAAATCACTACGGAAAAATTATTTTTTATTCAAATTTTTTCATTGATACAGGTAAGGTAGAAAACTGTAGTTCGGTACTGTAGATAAAGTAGGAAAACGAAGATGGTTGCATCGCGCATGCGCGTAACACGAGCATGTCATAATCAGCTGATCAGTTATGGACGAAAAGATGGCGAATGTTGGGACGATTAATTTCGTTGTCAGGTAACTGTCAAAAACAGGCTAACGCGGAGTGCTATTCGTTCACAGCATCGACGATATTTTCCCGCAAATCTGTATTTACTAATTGCGATACATCATGGCATTCCTCGAGGTCGGTCTGACATTCTATTTGAACGTTTAGTTATAATGTTTTCCATTATTTGTACATAACCTTAGCCTCGACGCCCTAACACCGAAGGCACGTTTATCTTTCAGTGGAGACGCATCAATTTCTTCGACCTTAAAAAAGAGGTTGACGGTGGAAAGATAGCCGAAGCTCTCAAAGTAAGTTTCTTTCATTTTGAATTCAACACTTAACAAGACATTCTCTATTGTAGATTATGTTAACGTGTAATACTATTTATTACAATACGTGTACAACTATATACCGTGTAATACTGTTCCCCAGGAGGCTCAAGTTACGGCAGCTACAAGCGGTAACAGCAACATAGTTTTCGGAGACGACAACGGCATGGTGCATTTAGTGAACAGGACTTACGATGTTACCAGTTTTCATGCGTACGAGATCACGTTAACATTAGCCCAACTGATTCAACATTCCAATTACTTGTTTACTATTGGCGTTAGTATGGATACAAAAACATTACGCGCTCGTTGCTACCATAGTTTTTACGCTTTTATCAATCTTCTTTAGGAAGATGAGAAAGGTTGTAATCCTACGATAAAAGTCTGGAACTTAACCAAACTAGACAAACACGACAATCCGACGTGCATTCGTATAAGTAGAGCCATACCTGGCTACAGAGCAGTTCCGGCGACTGCTTTGTACGTTCACAGTAATCTCACTTTAATGGCCGTGGGTTTTGGGGATGGCTCCATTATGCTTTATAGGTAACGATACATTAACTGTCTCTTTATTGTTCGACGGAACTTCTGATATATGATTTTAAATTCTTAGAGGCGACTTGACCAGGGAAAGAAAGAACAAAATAAAGGTGTTGAAAGACACCAATATCTCCATCACTGGCTTAGGGATAAGATCTACAGGCAAACAGAATCATTTGTTCGTTGCTACGCATAGCAGTGTCTTTTTATATAATATCACTACCATGGACAAAGAAATTAAATTCCCTTTGGACGTTGTGGGCTGCGCTAGAAAATGTAGCATTCTCACGGAGTCTATGCAGGATAGTCACTTCATGATCGGTCACAACAAAGTAATAATTTTTATGAAACTTTATCCCGAGCCACCGTGATAAGCATTTTGTTAACACCGTTCATTTTATGTCAGGCGATCTATTGTTATACACCGGATGGCAATGGACCTTGTTATCCGGTGGGGGGCCAAAAAGTAATGTTGGAATGGTTCAGAAATTATATAGTAATCGTAGCGAAGGAAGCAGTCAACGTTCCAAGAACAACGACTACCATTTCTGCGAAACCAAGGCAAGAATTTTATACGTAATTGTCACATTGGATAAGAATTTTTTATCGATAGATTTGTTTGCAGCCCTATAGAACCGATACCGCCAGGAGTGGATAAACATATGATCACAGTGATCGATATACAGAATAAGTTCATTGCTTTCTCTTCATCGATGGTGTCCGTGCAAGCAGTGGTATCAGAATGGGGCGGGTTTTTCATACTCAGCGGTGATAAAAAGCTTTACCACTTGGATGAGAAGGATTTACAGTCGAAATTGGCATTACTTTTTAAAAAGAACTTATACGATGCGTCTATAAGGTAAATAGTACAATTTTAAAATTAGGTTATCGTAAAAGTAAGCTGTGCTACAGTTTAGTATTCTAATTATTTTCAGAATAGCTAAAAATCAACAATACGATGCCGAAGGTCTCATCGATATATTCCGACAATACGGGGACCATTTGTATTTGAAAGGAGATCATAATGGCGCCATAGAGCAATACATTAAAACTATAGGCAAACTGGAGCCCTCGTACGTGATCAGAAAATTTTTAGACTCCCAACACATCGATCATTTAACAACTTATTTGCAAGCTTTGCATAAAAATGGACACGCGACGGGAGATCATACCACTTTGTTGTTGAACTGTTACACGAAATTGAATCATACTGATAAATTGAAAGAGTTCATCATGGTAAATAGTTACTTACAAACCCGATGTTAACGCTAGATTTACAGACCCCGTATTTAAAATTGCAGAACGCTTAAATATTATATTAAAATTTTAAGGTTAACATGAACAAATCTAGTGTTAACGAACAATTTAGCCATTTATATTATTTCAGACGAAAGACAGAGAGGTCGATTTTGACGTAGAAATTGCGATAAAAGTCTGTCGTCAAGCGTCGCCGGAAGATGCGCTGCTTCTTGCGCAGAAGCATGCGCGACACGAATGGTATCTTCGTATTCAAATTGAAGACAAACACGAGTACGAGAAAGCATTGGAGTACATAGCAACTTTGGAGTTCGAGGAAGTGCGTTTCTACATTTTCCAAATTCATTATACGCGACTAATTTTAATCGTCTTTCAGGCAGAGTCCAATATGAAGAAATATGGCAGCGTTCTCATAGAAAATGTGCCAAACGAGTCTACGCAGTTTTTAAAAAGTTTGTGTACCAATTACAGGCCTTCCAACAAACCGCTTGTGGATCAGGTAAAATTAACAATGTAAGTTCCAGCGAGTAGCGAGGTTAATTTAAATGTTTTCCATTCAGGAAACTTTAGATGGCACTACCAGCCAACACGTTGACAAAGCTAACCCCGAAGACTTCATTCACCTGTTTTTAAATAATTCTGAACGACTGGTTGAATTCTTGGAACATTTAGTAAAACTTGACGCCAAGTGAGTGTAACATCTTACGTATTCGAAAATGACTCGCCATGTTTAATTTAAATACATCTACGTAGGTGGAGTACTTTGGTGTACAATACGTTAGTGGAACATTACCTACACGTGTGGTCAGCCTTGGACACCGATGTTGCCAAAGTGCAGTTCGAACAGAAAATTGTTCGACTTCTGCAAAACTCAGAAGCGTGTTACGACAAGGATCAAATATTAATTCTGTGCCATCAGCATAACTTCAGACGCGGTCTGCTCTTTCTTTACGAAGAAAGCAAACTGTACGTTGAAGTAGCTCGTGTGATAAATAAGACCGTATTTAGAAATGTTGTCTTACGGATTGTGTTTGTCGGTAGATATCAGGAAATATTGCAGTTTCATTTACGAGAAGCGGACAGCGAACAAATTTTAGCTACTTGCAAACGGTTTGGCCATCAGGATCCAAATTTGTGGGTTCAAGCTTTGTGGAGCGTCGCTAGGAACAAAAATGCTTCGCTCAAGCTCCTCGCAGACATACTGGAAAATATAGGTATTGTTAAAATGTCATTTTTTCCCCCCCCCCCCCTCGATGTTATTTCTATTAAATGAGATATTGTTCGCAGAACAAGAGAGACTTTTGCCGCCATTGATGGTGATCGATGCAATTTCAACTTCGCTATCCTGCACCTTCGGCGATGTTAGAACTTATTTAAACAATGTGTTACGAACAAATCACGAACAGACGCAGGCAGATATCGATTTAATCGAAAAGTATCGTACGGATACTTTAAAAATACGCGAACAAATAGAGTCGATAAAAAATAACACGATAATTTTCCAAGGATCGCGTTGCAGCGCGTGTCATCGTCAATTGGAACTACCATCGGTGAATTTCATGTGCCAGCATTCGTATCACCAACAGTAAGTTTCTATTACACAATAACCACGGTGATATCTTACAAATCAACCTAACGATCCATTGTTTCGTCACTTATTAGTTGCTTTCAAAGTTACTCCGAGAACGAGAACGAGTGCCCAGTTTGTTTACCAAACAATAAAAAGTACCTAGACGTAATAAAATCACAGGAACAATCGAAGGATCTTCACGAAATATTTCACAGGCTGCTTGATCGCGCGGATGATCCATTTTCATTGGTCGCCGAATACTTTGGCCGAGGAGTTTTCAAAAAATTAACGGTGATCACCGATACGGACAAACCGTTATCTACTTCGTCCACGAAATTTGAAGAACCAAAGTTGAATTACGGGCCAGGAGCAGAAGCCAAAATTAGGTTAACGGAGGGGAAGAATTCAACATTAGGTAGTCGCATATTTTAATGGAACGTTCCTAGCAAACGGCCCGTTCACCGATCGGGGTGAGTTATACGTCATTCGATTCGTCTAATTCAATACATTATTCATATGCAATTCATTATAAATTCGTTATTTTTTTATAAACTTGTCGTAAAGTTACAGTATAAAAGTAAGGTTAAGTATATTTTGACAAATCCACAGGTGGAAACAGGTGACTGTCGTTACTCTGTTCAAAATGCTAGGTAGTCAAATGCTAATTTGTTAAACATTTATTGAATGAAATTTCTACTATTTCTGCTAATATTTCATTGAATAAATCACCATTTTTCTATTAGGTACATTTACTAAATACATAATGGCTCAGGCATTCGATGAAGTTACTCTTCTTAAAAATATAAAATATCGATAGTATTATATGTTATAAAAAAGATTAAAAAATGTGTAGCATGCCTCCAAGTGGTTTCAATTTAATTCGTGTAAGCATCGGTAATGGGATCTTCAAAACTGACGCTGTGATTAATTTTCAAGCGACCTCTGTGATATTTTCTATGACAAAATGTTGATTCATCGATCTCGACAATCTACTCTACTCTTCCAATTGCTGAGCAGTATTTTTATTTAATTTTAGTTATATAATATGACATTGCTCATAATTATATGTTAGTGTATATGTTAATTTTAAAACATCTACAGCTGAGTTTGTTTTTAGAAAACCACGTTCTTTGCTTTGCATATATCTTTATATTACAATGTCTTTTACGTTTAGTTTGATCGACAGATCCTGGAATAGTTATCCTGCATTGCCAATTTTCATAACATTTCCACATTGCAGATAGTACAAGAAACAGAAGAAAAGCAGAAATTGTTTCAGTAATCATTTGTTTCAACTGTCATTTCTGATTTTCTTCTGTTTCCTGTACTTTGCGAATTTTGTTCAACTGTGCTATAAAAATGACCGAATTAGTAGTTCCAGAAGTGTGGACCTTATTTAAATTGCACGAATTTTGTAAAAATAAAGAAGCTTTATTAAAATTTTTGCAAGATAAAAAGTTGATTGCCAAAAATCTTAATTGTCCACAGTGTGGAAATGTAATGAAATTAGACAATGAAAATTGGCGTTGTAGAAAAACAATTGCAGACAGGTTCACAGATAGAATCAAGTGACAAGTGAAGTATGTGCCGCAACAATAACAAGTACTACTTTAGCTTATTGAGAAACTGTAATTTATCAATAGGTCTGGATTAGGTCTGGGTTAGGTCTGGATTAGGTCTGGGTTAGGTCTGGGTTAGGTCTGGATTAAATCTGAGTTAGGTCTGGGTTAGGTCTGGATTAGATCTGAATTAGATCTGGGTTAGGTCTGGATTAGATCTGAGTTAGGTCTGGGTTAGGTCTGGATTAGATCGGAGTTAGGTCTGGGTTAGGTCTGGATTAAATCTGAGTTAGGTCTGGGTTAGGTCTGGATTAGATCTGGATTAGATCTGGGTTAGGTCTGGATTAGATCTGAGTTAGATCTGAGTTAGGTCTGGGTTAGGTCTGGATTAGATCTGGGTTAGGTCTGGATTAGATCTGAGTTAGGTCTGGGTTAGGTCTGGGTTAGGTCTGGATTAGATCTGAGTTAGCTCTGGGTTAGGTCTGGATTAAATCTGAGTTAGGTCTGGGTTAGGTCTGGATTAGGTCTGGGTTAGGTCTGGATTAGGTCTGGGTTAGGTCTGGATTAAATCTGAGTTAGGTCTGAGTTAGGTCTGGATTAGATCTGGATTAGATCTGGGTTAGGTCTGGATTAGATCTGAGTTAGATCTGAGTTAGGTCTGGGTTAGGTCTGGATTAGATCTGAGTTAGGTCTGCGTTAGGTCTGGATTAGATCTGGATTAGATCTGGGTTAGGTCTGGATTAGATCTGGATTAGATCTGGGTTAGGTCTGGATTAGATCTGGGTTAGGTCTGGGTTAGGTCTGGGTTAGGTCTCATTTACACTGTTGTTGTATTTTGTAATTTCCAAGTGTATGATTTGGTTTGGACTCGAAAAAATGTCGAATGGGACTTGACGAACAATGCTTTTAAGTGTTTTATTTGAAATTTACCTGTTAAAATGAGTGCTTTATTTACACTGTTGTTGTATTTTGTAATTTCCAAATGTATGATATCTGTTTGGTGCGGACTTGAAAGAATGTCGAGTGAGACTTGACGAAGGTGCTCCTGAGATCAAAATTGATGTCGTATCACACTCGACATAGGAGTGCAAAGGGTTAAGATAATTTGGATTATTAACTAATCCAGACCTAACCCAGACCTAACCCAGACCTAAACCAGACCTAACCCAGATCTAATTCAGATCTAATCCAGACCTAACCCAGAGCTAACTCAGATCTAATCCAGACCTTACCCAGACCTAACCCAGACCTAAACCAGACCTAACCCAGATCTAATTCAGATCTAATCCAGACCTAACCCAGAGCTAACTCAGATCTAATCCAGACCTAACCCAGACCTAACCCAGATCTAATCCAGACCTAACCCAGACCTAACTCAGATCTAACTCAGATCTAATCCAGACCTAACCCAGACCTAACCCAGATCTAGGGTCTGGGTTAGGTCTGGGTTATGTCTCGGTTAGGTCTGGGTTAGGTCTGGATTAGATCTGGGTTAGGTCTGGGTTAGGTAAGCCCAAATCGACAATTTATCATGTACTTGTATGTTATCATGTGTTGGTAATCGAAAAAAAATGAAAACTGTTATTTCAATACAGAGTCGAACTGGTCATATAAGAAATTTACTCAATGCAATAATAAGAGTCATTTGATTATTTAAAATTTCCCAAGCAGTCAAAATGACTGTTTCTGACCAATATAGGTATAACACATATACCGGAAATGATGGAGGAGGTAACTACAATTATTAATAAACGCATTTATATGTTGTGCAAAAAGTCACAAAATTCTAAGAAATTGTGTCATTATATACATAATTGTTTTTCTAATTGAAATTAAAAAGCAGTCAAAATGACTTGCTTGGGCATTCTAGTGTTAATAATGTATTGAATTAGACGAATCGAATGACGTATAACTCATCCCGATCGGTGAACGGGCCGTTTGCTAGGAATATACCATTCTAACACATTACCGACCGATAGCCTATTAATCGACTTTTTTACCGGCCAACACTTACCGACCGATAGCGTATTAATCAACTTTTTTACCGACCAACGCTTACCGGTCGGTAAAGTGTTAATAAAGCAACGCACTTTATTTTAACCTCAAATCTTAGAATCATAGAAAACCGAAATACTTTATTATTCTATTGGAAAGGAAACACCGATGTTCGTCGACCTCAAGACAACTACTCCGTAGCAGCGAACGATCGTTTACGATCATTTCCAAGGTCAGACGTTCATTCTTCGTCGTCGGAAGCAAATACCTCTGGCGTGGTACCTACTTCCCGAGGGAATTCAACGAAAGTTTCCTCGGTGCCCATAAAGGAAGCCCGGATTTTAAATAGCACGACACCGAAATCATCGCCGATTCAGAAGTCTTTCGTGCCGCCAACATCGCCGATCGTACCGTTTAAACCGTCCAAAACGAACGAGTACGACGAATCAAAAAATCCTTTCTTCGGAGATGACGACGTTAATGCCATTGACAATGACGAGTACGACGACGATGACGACGATTACTACAACAAAAACCTAAATCCTTTCACTAGATAAACTGCGTTTATTTTATCCAACTACTATAAATCTCATAAACGAACAGTAAGTGAATTAAACGTTATTACGCAGACCAAGAACTGTCAAAGCTTGTAAAGAAAACTAGACGTCGTAAACATTATTATTATTATGCGCATTGTAAATTAACTCGATATAATTTAGCGTCGATTAGCGTGAATATAACTATTATTCCCCATCGTTCTCATCATCCGAATCTATTACGAATTTTGTATTATTTTTTAACTTTTTTCATATACACATCAAACGATAATCTTTTGGTGCTTCGCGTGGTATTGTAAAATGTGACATTCTCTCGTCGACCGATGGGAATTTATCCCCAGAAAGCACGAGGGGCGTATAAATGTATATTAAACAGTTACTTGTATATATTGCTTCGTATCATGTTTTACGTCACCAACATATATCCACAAAATATATATTAGGTTATTATTATAAAAAATACTTTACATTATACGAAAAGATACTGCTACCAAAAGTAAGTGTTTTTCAAATAGCGATTAATAAATTACTTGTGTGCGAAAGCGTGGACAACTGTATTACACGTGGTCCAAAATGTCTTTCCATTCGAATATCTTGTCGCTTACTCTGAATGCGCTCCAATTATCTATAGTTTCTGGTGTTCTCGGCTTGGTAGAAATAGGCGTGCAATACTCTTCGGTAGACTCAGGTGTAAAGAAGTCAGAAAGTATCGGTACGGTGTCTCTTTGCCTTGGCTCTGGATCTTTGCTACGAGTCAATCTGCTTGGCAATTGCTTGTCGTCTACGGACAAGTCCACCAAATTTTTATAAACAACTTCTTCGAGGGGGAAGTCCAAGGCACTAGAAATCTAAAAATGAAAGCACGAAAATATTCCTGGTTGTTATTCGTAAGCAATTCTTTTTTTTAATACCTTTCCATTTATAAGGTTTTTATAGGTAGCTGGTAGATGTTCGATATCGGTCACAAACTTTTGCTTCTTCATTTCCTTTAATTTATTGATCGTACACATAATCGAATTGTACTCTGGCCGTGCTAGTTTCTCACCAGAAGTGCACGGTTTCGTTTGAGCATTTTCATTTGTTTCCGCAGTCTTAATGTCGATTTGTTTTTTGTGTTGTATGCCTGGACCAATATCGGGTTTGATTTTAGGACCATTTATGTCACGTACAACAGTCTTTTTAACTGCGCAAATCTTAATTCTCGATGAAACTTTATTGTACTTATGGCAAGGCATAACATTAGTCGCAGTAGATTTTGTATTTAGTTTCGAATTTGTTGAATTTTTTTTATTAGGAACAGCAGGACAGGACTTAGTTTTACAAAATGTATTCTTGGTATCTTTTTTAGCGACCAATGCATCGTTTTCTTTTCCTTTACTCTTTACGCAATCTTTTTTTGTGATATGAGCTTTGACGTGAGTTTTTAATTTATTTGAATTCTCATCTTGCGCAACGGGAGGTGCAGAAGAGATTATAATACTTGGAATTTTATTCTTGATATCTTTTTTAGCGGCTAATGCATCGTTTTCTTTTCCCCTTTTACTGTTTATGCAATCTTTTTTTGTAATATGAGCTTTGACGTGAGTTTTTAATTTATCTGAATTTTCATCTTGCGCGACGGAAGATGCAGAAGAGATTATAATACTTGGAACTTTATTCTTGATATCTTTTTTAGCTACTAATGCATCGTTTTCTTTTCCCCTTTTACTGTTTACGCAATCTTTCTTTGTGATATGAGTTTTGACGTGAGTTTTTAATTTATTTGAATTTTCATCTTGCGCGACGGGAGATGCAGGAGAGATTATAATACTTGAAATTTTATTAGAAACCTTGGTTTTATCAGGGTCCTTGGAATTTACTTTTACAATTTGAATATTATTAGCATCGCTTAAAGGTTTCATAGTTTCTGTCTTAACAGGAGTGTCGGTCGAACAAGACGTACTTTGATCCATACGGGGAGAACATGCGTTATTATCTAACATTGATAATTCAGTCTTTCGTGCATTATCGGTAGATTTAAAATTGTTTTCTTGATCGCTAGATGGTTTCTTTGATTTCATTAATATAACAGGCTTCTTTAGCGTTACGATACTTCTGATTTTTGGTTTATTCGACTGGACAGTGTCCTTTTGATCCGTCGAGGATTTTAATCTCTCTGTTTTTAATTTACTGGCATCGGTTTGACAAAATCTAACTTTTGGCTTAGCAAAGAACGTTGTATCTGACATCACGAGAAGAGTGGTGACGGAATAAAAAAAATTATGAGACTCGTGAAGCTTCTACTTAAAAGATTAACACTACGCGATTATAAAAATTTTAAAAACATAACCTTCAAACACAGCCGTGTCGAAATCTGCTAAATGAGCAAAGAATCATCGACGAGGGTATAAATTTCTTAATAAATTTCTTAATATTTATTCCCTGTGATTATCCGGCTTGTAATTTTGTTATTTTTAATTCACAAAAGTAGGATAATTATGCGATAATTGTGCACACGTGTTTATTAATGCTTGTGACTTGAATGGTTTGAAAGGATACGGTACGGCCGTTAAAAGCAAAACATCTCCCAAATTTAGGTGAAATACAAAATTTCGATGCTACTACGACGAGTGTAATTAATTGAAATTATTCCGTTAATTACATGTATTTTTATTTAAACTTTTCGCTTCGGTATGCTTGTAACAAAATGTAATCTTTATATTCTCTATGACAGGATTACAAAAGGCCAGTTTGGACATGCGCACTAGAATTTTCCCTCGCGGGATTCCTTTCTGCGCATGCGTTAGCTTTCTATCATAGATGTATCTTTAGCGCAAAAAGAGATGCATATTGGGAATTCCCATGTTATGGGCAATTTTTCAACATGCAAACTACGCGTATTTTAGCGAAGAATATGTGAGAATTCCAAAAATATTCGAAAAGTTATTCCTTAACCCCGCAAAATGAGAAAAATCCCATAAAAATGGTCCAATTTTCAAATGCTCATAACTTCTACAATATTGTATATATTTCATTGAAATTTTTTTTGAAGTAGAGCCCCATGGGTATCTACAAAAAAGTATTAGACAACTTTTCTGTAGGGGGTCAAAGGAAATTAATAAAAATCAAAAACGAATTTCTAAGAAAAATCGACAAGGGGCGCCTAAATTTTTCGGCGAAATTAAAAAGTTTCAAATCGTTCTGGAAAAACAGTAATTTTGTTATTTTTAATTCACAAAAGTAGGATAATTATGCGATAATTGTGCACACGTGTTTATTAATGCTTGTGACTTGAATGGTTTGAAAGGATACGGTACGGCCGTTAAAAGCAAAACATCTCCCAAATTTAGGTGAAATACAAAATTTCGATGCTACTACGACGAGTGTAATTAATTGAAATTATTCCGTTAATTACATGTATTTTTATTTAAACTTTTCGCTTCGGTATGCTTGTAACAAAATGTAATCTTTATATTCTCTATGACAGGATTACAAAAGGCCAGTTTGGACATGCGCACTGGAATTTTCCCTCGCGGGATTCCTTTCTGCGCATGCGTTAGCTTTCTATCATAGATGTATCTTTAGCGCAAAAAGAGATGCATATTGGGAATTCCCATGTTATGGGCAATTTTTCAACATGCAAACTACGCGTATTTTAGCGAAGAATATGTGAGAATTCCAAAAATATTCGAAAAGTTATTCCTTAACCCCGCAAAATGAGAAAAATCCCATAAAAATGGTCCAATTTTCAAATGCTCATAACTTCTACAATATTGTATATATTTCATTGAAATTTTTTTTGAAGTAGAGCACCATGGGTATCTACGAAAAAGTATTAGACAACTTTTCTGTAGGGGGTCAAAGAAAATTAATAAAAATCAAAAACGAATTTCTAAGAAAAATCGACAAGGGGCGCAATTAAAAAGTTTCAAATCGATCTGAAAAAATTATTGTCGGTTGCAGGGGTCAATTGCAATCATTTTTGGTGAATAGACATACCCTCAAAATCTTGCGCATTTTCGAGAAAAAAATTCAGTACTATTCAGTAATAAATTCAGTAATATTAGCTAATAAAACTATCTAATGAACAATTGTACGACTTTGTATAAATAAAACATATTACACAAATTTTATTTTTATTTCATTGTTGGTCCTTTGAAGTACGTGGTTCAGATTTTATTGTTGCATGTTCAGTTTCAATATCTACAAGAATTCTGATCATTTGCTAAATCATTACAAGTTTATAAGTAACGGAGCAATATTAGCAAACTTCTTCTTTATTATATTTTTTACATATTTCTATAAAAAAATAAAAAATTTAACATCCATATACGTGCATATATGTATAAAATTAAACAAGTTAAAGTCAGTTATTCTTTATTCGTTACTACAATAATATCAGACATATCTGGAACAGATTGTATTTCTAAGTTTCTTTCGCTTGCTAAATGTAGCAACGATACAAAGGAAAGGGGAACAGTCAGTGCCTCTGCGTTAGTTTTTGTTAATACACCTGGCAACCTTTTATAAACGTCACTGAAATATGTATTTTCTTTGATTTTATTTTCTGTTTCCTGTTGCACTGCGTTTTCTGTATTTACATTCGTGCCATCGTTACTCGAATCCAGGATTTTCCAAATACATTCCTTCAATTCTTTCATGTCAACCTTTTTTTCACGAGTGCTATACGCGATGCATATCTTATTTGTTAATTTAGGCGCGGCAACCAAATTATCTTCAGTAAAAATCATCTCAGCTACGTCATTATCATTGTTACCATTCGTTACGTAATCTTCGTTAGGGCAATAGTTTATCGAATCATTTTCATTATCGTAATTATAATTATTAATGTCAGACGCATGAGTAGTATTTAATATGTCCTCGTTTCTTAAAGCCGTTATTAGTTTATGGAGGTACAGTTTGGTAACAGATTCGATATTATAATACATATCTCGCGGTAGTGTAAGAACTTCTTCCTGCCATTTTGCTCTGGCATGCCTGATTTCCACTCTCGAAGCTGGTACAGATGAGAACTTTGGTAACACAGCTTGTTTTGCGTCATCGTCATAAGAAAGTTCTATTTCTTTCCTTTTCGTGCCTCGTTCTAGATGACATTTCTCTACGACTCTGCTCTCTCCGAAGAGTTTTTTTAAATTATGCAATTTCCAATGGGTCGGACCAGCCCAGTGAAACTTTGTACCTTTCCGAAGAAAAGAATACTCCGACATTTCTGTTGCCTCCGTACGAGTCACAAGTTTACAAAAATCAACAACTTCTTCCAGAGGTCCTCTCGCTTCCATACATTTTTCTACATTGTCTTCGTCATCGTGAACATCACGATGAATTGCTTCATCTTCCGATGGTAAACTAGCATCCAAGTCAAAGTGAAATCTATTCTCTTCTTCTTCTTCTTCTTCTTCTTCTTCTTTATCGTCGGTCGAACCACAGAATTCAAAATGAACCAAAGGCGGACATATGCTTAATTCAGAAAAATGTTCTACTTGTGGAATATTTACCTTTATATCTTTGATATTTCTTTTAGAGTCTACAGTATCTACAATTATATCATTATGCCTGTGTAAATAAAACCTCGAATTCGCATGAATTGGCAGTACTACTTGGTATAACGCGTCCGTAGTTTGTATATCTTCCTGGTCCATTAACCATGGCGAAGGTTTCACTGTTTCAACAGTTCCTTTCAAATCGTTCGCGGAGGAAAAAATCTTTTGTCTCCTTCTCTTCGATTTTATTTGTTTTATTTTCTCTGCGTCGTTTATTTTGTTCCCTTCCACATTATTCGTATCTTCGTGGTAATCGTCCGTTGGCGTTTCGTTCTTCTCTTTGTCCAATCCACCGACCAATTTCAACATTTCTGTATAAACACTGTCTACACGAAAACCATAAATCTTTGCACTCACGTCCAAGGACGTACTAGCTACTTGTAAATTAGATATGTTAACGTCTTGTTTCTTGATCATGTAAGTCATTAAATCAATCATTTCTAAGCTAAAAGCGTTCTTCGCAGTAATTTTGTTCTCGCTGTTCAGCTTTATACACTCGTATATACGATCGGTTATTTCAGGAGCTGATATTTGCGCTAAACATGCAAGTCCCAGAGATTGTCGTTTACCAGTTTCTTTTACTTTTGTTGACGATGTGTTATCAATATTCATCTCACGGTGTAACGCCAAACGTTCTTCGTCATCATTATTTTCTGGTAATGCATTCTGTCCATAGAAAGATTTTCTTCTTGAAGATAATGAAGAATTTAAAGACTTTGGTGACGAAGAATTTAATAATAGATTCTTTTCGTTTTGTTTATTTGCCATTTTATAATTTCACGTAAATTTGTATATAGATGTTTATTGTTTATTTTCTTGAAAGAAATATTTCTACTTGCTTGCCTTGCTGTACTTTATATCTACAACACAGTTTCCCGTACATACGTAAACATGCGCGAATTGAAGACTCAGGGAAAATAATATTACACACAGCATTTGAACTAGTACAATTAAATCGTCTCAAAGAAAAGTAACATTTTACTATCTTTAGTTATATTATCCAATTTAACGTAGGAGAGGTATTTAACGAAGCAAAGAACAAGTGTCAACGGTGTTTTCTATACTAGATGCCATATTACCATGTATTCGAACGTTTGAATCTGCGAGCGTTCCTAAAATTATTTTCTTCGAACGACTATGGTCGGCATTCATCTTCGTTTTGTAATTCATGTAAACACACTTTGTCGTTGAGATACGAAGTACATTTTTATGAAGCTCGAAAAATTTAAGTTTCGCGAGTTTAACCGGGTTCTTTTATTCCGATCAACATGTTCAATGCAAAAAACCATGACTAAAAAATCCCCAAACAAAAAGCTCAGAACAAAGTTTCACTATCACTTGCAACAATTTTTCATCGAACGATTTCACGCGCGTTCGAAGGAGACGGTCTTTTTTATGCCCTGTCCATGGGAGGAGTGGGGGACGTTCCCCTGTGCTCCACCCAGGGGTGCCAGAAAGCATCTGCGAGAAGGCAAGTGTGAGTCTTCCTCTCTCGACTCCCACGAGACGTTCCGAAGTTACTTCGGGCAGCTTCGGAGAATCGAGAAAGAGCGCATGCGCCAGTCAGTCTTCGTCGACCCTCCGAACTCTACGAGCTCACGCATGCGTGATGTGGCATAGCGTCAGTAGTGCACTCGGTGCTCAATCTGGCATCACTGAAGAAGAGTGCTTTAATCGTGTGTTATTCCTTATAAATCGTTCATAGAACTTACATTCGTTACTTTTTTGCTAGCAATATTTACAACAAGTAAAAATATAGTCAAAGTATGAACAAACAATTTTCAATAACTATAATAATTTTATGACTTGAGGTTATGTTTTAAAAATGATTTAAACCAGTGGTTCTTAATCTATTTTCGTTACTTTTTTGCTAGCAATATTTACAACAAGTAAAAATATAGTCAAAGTATGAACAAACAATTTTCAATAACTATAATAATTTTATGACTTGAGGTTATGTTTTAAAAATGATTTAAACCAGTGGTTCTTAATCTTTTTTTCTACCGATCCCCTTTGAAAGTACAATAGAGCAATATTCCTGGAGATAACGTTTTTAAATGTTAGTTAATTCAATGTTTTACGATCACTGTTAAAAATCCTAATTTACTCTGATGGAACGCACTGATTTGGATGAAAAGTTGTACAGATCGCTGCACAAGGCGAGAATAAGTTCAGAAAAAACATTAAAATCCTCAAAGACATTTTTAATTTCAATTTTAACAAATTTTAAGTTTTAAGATCGCTGCACAAGGCGAGAATAACTTTAGAAAAAACATTAAAATCCTCAAAGACATTTTTAATTTCAATTATAACAAATTTTAGGTTTTAAGATCAATGAATTCATCCTAGACTAGGTCTGCGTCTTTAATAGAATTTAATTAGACAGGAAAGGACCGTGAACAATTCAATTTTAATGGCATCGACATAAAGATAATTAATAGAAAAGTTCTTAAATGTTTTTAGGTGGTTGAAACATTCGTTTCTTAAAAAGATAGTGTTGGCAACTCTGCCATAGCAAAGTATTTTTATCAACGTTTGAAAGTTTCCAAAGATCTCAATCTCTATGCGCCTTTCCAAATTAACATCTTAATTAAAAAAATCTTATAATTTCTCTGTACAAGACATAACGTTAAGTTCAGGATATTGAATTAAAAGATTCAATAGCTATTGTAATGCAAAAGCATTAAAAAGATGAAATATTTTTAGGCATAATGTATGCAATGAAAATAAGTATTTAAAATATCTATGTATGGCTCTTCTGAAATCTGTGGATCGCGAGTTAAAAATCACTGATTTAATTCTTTCAAATAATTTAAAAATTACATTAATCGATCTTTTAATTCTTACGCAGATGAATACTACGTTGAATGTTGCACGCATTTTTAACATATCCCTCAAACGATATGTAAGTACTGGTAAATTACCTCCCGAAATAGTTATGCCAATGAACAGGGAGATGATCGTCTGTTGGCATCCGCAACCAGAGTTTCCTTACGAATGTTCGTTACCATTGCCAGAAGAAAAAGAACTTTCGTCAAACTCTGTCTTATGCATCGGTGAAAAAGAAATCGCAGAAAGTTTCAAGCATAAAAGACCCGAAGTAGTGATCGAAGAACTTTCAAAAATAACGTATACCACGAAACATAGATGGTATCCCAGAAATTGGGCCAGGAGGAACAGATTTACGGAACCGGACAGAACATACTTATAAATATAATTTGTAAATCTGAACAGTGTAGTTAAAAAAACTAATTTTCATATTGAAAGCATTAAATGGATTGTATCAAATAAATTATTGCAGTCGTTTCTTTATTCTGACAATATTGCACTTTGTTGAAAATTATTAGCATTCTTAAAAGTTAAAACATACATATATACATATACATATAGATGTATTAGTCATTCGTTAATCAATTCGTCATTCGCTGATTAACATTTAGAGTGCAATGGTTTTTGATCGAAGAGTACTAAATACATAGCATCATTAGCCATACGGTTTGGCTATTATTAAAAATGATACATAATATTTAGAACAGAAAATAGGACATGCTATAAAATAAATATGAAAAGCTTAATATCTCTCTCTATATTCAGGAGGTGTTCATCCATGAACATCGAACCTATTATTGCGTATATATGCTCTGGCCTTTTGAAAAGTAGAATTCAGATTTTACAAATTATGAGGATGTATTTGTCTCTCTCCTTCGTGTAAATAAATCTGCATAGCTTGATGCAATAGGTATCTCCCAAAGTTACATTTTTCTTTTATGTTCCAAGTCGCTGCTTTTCCATAATAGCCTCCATTTTTGCAATTACACAAATTCTCTACTCCCAAAGCATCGATCATAGCAGCTTCGCGGGTGTAAGCTTCGACTGGAATGGTATTTTGATAAATGTGGAGGCAAACCACTCCACATCCAGCGTTCCAAATGTCTAAAATACGTTTTACTTTTGTACTTTTAGAGCACTGATTTGAAACCCACGCGTCGAAGGCGTCTTTAAGATGGTAATACGGTCTGTTGCGTGTACCTTTACCCACATAAAATATACCAGAGAGAAACGTAGACCAAATTGTAGGCTTTGTCAGACTTTCGGCGTTCAAGGGTAAATTATTAGTTACGCGTGTGTCTAAAAGTAGATAATTAAAACAAGTCTTGTTAATCCCTTCTCGCCATTTTCTAGAAGGATCCACCATAGAGAATTCCTCAAAAATGTTCTTTTCGATAATTTTGTATCTCGCTAAGTGATTTACCCAGTCTCCGTATATAAAAAATGATTCCAAATCAAATTTACAGTCCGTTTTAAACGGAACCTTTGAACGAATAGTTGCGAACGATGATGGATTACACGTTTTGTCTTTTAAACGTATAAGTCGCTTTAAATATAACTGCTTTGTTGTGTCGGTTATTGGTCCTGGATTGTCACCTAGATTGATTAACATTCTTCGTAGTATATCATTTGTCATAGATATATCCACCGATACATTTAGCGATTGTGGCCCTGAAAAATTGATAAAAGTTTTAAACTTGTTTGCAGTTCAAAACTTGGAGAGATTACGATTTCCGTGGTCCCCTTGTCTGCATACATTTTGCCACATTTTGCATAGTTTCCGAGATACTTGCAGGTTTATAAAAAAGAGGAAATCTACTTTACCGACTAAGCCAGGTCCATTCGATACCTGCGACATGTACATTTCTTTCTTAACACTTTACCGACCGATAGCCTATTAATCGACTGTTTTACCGACCGATAGCCGATTAATCAACCGCTACCGGTCGGTAAAGTGTTAAAATAACCCCAAGAACAGAAATTTAAAATTTATCCTTCAAAGTAGGGGCCACGGGGATCGTAATCGTGCCCGAAATTTTCAGAGAATTGTCATAGAACTGTTAAAAATTAATCTTTAAGTAATACGTGAAATTTCGTTTATCCGGAAGATAAGGCGATGATAAAAATATTGGGAACACTGTACGAGGATTAAATAATTTTGACGAATCTTACATAGTCTGTTGGCTGTAGTACAATCTTCTGTGGGCATGCTGTAAATACACGAAAAACAATGATACTTATTACTGTTTGTAATAAACGTTGTAATACAATTACTGTGGTTCGCTGACTTGAAGTCGTCTATCTATCTTGCTATCTTGCTATCTTGCTATCTTGCTAACTGCCGTGACGAATAGCGAACCAGAGTGAGAATAGGCGTATCCCTTCTACTTTTCTCAGACTTCAAGTCAGCGGAAAAACTACATAACTAATTTCAATATCTCACCATGGCGGTAGTGCATAAATTCTACGTTCCAGAAAAGCTACACCATCATCTGGATATTCATATTTATACTCTTCTTGCACGCTAACGTATGATTGCGATGTGAAACTGTTGGAATAATTAAATAAATTTTCATTACAAATTCGATAAAAAGAATCAGTAATTTAACATGACGAGTAATGATATGTTTGCAAATAAAACAATAATGAATAGAACGAATGGAGGCTTTTAAAAGAATAATAAATATAAAATATTTTTAGCATATGAATACAAAATTACCTTGATCGAGATGTCACAAAACCTTCGTCAAATATATTTGAAGTATCATCAGTTTTTAATTTTTCCATAATTTTATTTTGCACATTATCTTTATTCAAATATTGCTTACTTGTTTCTTTGCAGTCTGTTTTCTCTAGTTTTAAGTTTACTAAATTGTTATTGCATGCTTTTATTAGATTTTCCGTGTAATTCTTAATTTCGTTGAAGTTCGAATTTGTTGGTACATCGTCGTCGTACTTATTCTCATGCAATTTTACTGCCAGATGTTTATTAAATTTGTAATGCAATTTGTCTAGATCATTCTGATCGGGTGACAAGGAATTTGCTGATTCAGGACTTGTGTTTTCTGACGATGTAAATCTGTTGTTCCTCTTGAGTTTCCTGAGCGATGAATATTGTCTGGAAAATCGTTTCCTTCTTGGGGTAGATCTAGCCACTTGTCTCCTTAAAATAAACTCTTCCGATTGAGGAAACTCATTTCTTGTCATACAAGGCGTAAAAGCTTTAAATTTCGATTCATTGTTTATTACTTTTGGAGACAAATAGCTCCATTCTTTTTCCGCTGATTTGCCTATTTGACAGTTTGGCGATTTACTTATAATAGTATCATTTGGATTATATACAGGAACTAGCGGAGCTTTGGCATTGTTTTGTTCAAAAATTTTACGCCTATATCTTGGAGTAACGGATCTTTTTCTCACTCTAGGTTTGAACAAAAATTTGTTCTTTGCGTCAAGGGTCACGTTATCGTTTAGTATAGACAATGGACTCCTGTCATACTGATTTTCTTTGTATTGAAAATGTTCGTTACTAATTTCTCGATCTTCGGAGCTAGTTTTCAAGGAGCTCGAGAGTTGATTAATAATTTCATACAACAGGCACTTTTCTTTATCCATTTCGTTGCAAATTCGAAGCTCCGCTGTATTTATATCAGATTGATGATCGCTATGCAAACTTTTCTTATTGTAATCGAAGTAATATTTATTTTTTATATCGGACAATTTATCATCTTCATTTTTCTTAAGTTCGTTTCCATTAAATAAATCAGAAATTTCTGACGTAGCATATTCTGCAATCGTGTCTCCACTATTAATCAAAAGTTTATCTACAAATCGATATAAAGAAAAATTTAAATACAAGGTGTAAATGGTAGACGCAGGCAATGTATAAAACCTACCGAAAGTCATTTTACAATTAATTACTTTATCTTCGATCGTATTGTTTTCGCAATATTTGCTCAGTAGTACGATTGCTTTGTAATATTTTCCATCAAATGCGTAATGAAATGGGCTGTGTCCTTCGTCGTCTAAACAAAGAGGATCTCCACCATTCGCTAGAAGTAATTCTAATACCGTAACTCTGCCCCATGCTGCTGCCAGATGAACCGGAGTCAATCCGTCTACAGATCTACAAAATCACGCATTGAAATTGTTCTCACGTGTGACTAAAAAATATAGTTAAATGAACCTAATAGTTAATTGCTTACCTAATGTTTGGGTCTCCTCCATGGCGTAAAAACAATTTAGTTACTTCCTCCGCGAAAGCTTCGGAATCATTGCCTATCACTAAGTGAAACGGTGTCACTCCATGCGTAGGAATTAATGTATTAGGATTCGCTTCTTTGTTTAAAAGTAAAGTTGTTACTTGCCTATTACAGTACAAATTACACAATGCGATAAATAGATAATATACAGTATTACTCGTAAACAGAGTTGGGCAAATTTTATTCACAAATATTCTAAATTCTATCTACGTTTCATTAAATTAATATTCAAATAAGTATGGGCGAAACCTAGTTCTCAATAACGAATTAAAATATTAAACTCGCTCGTATGCTAAGTATGCCTAACTCTGCTTACAGAGCGTTATAATACAGGTTAACCCAAAAATAGATACGTAGTCCATTTTAGTACCGTATTCTACTTTCCCCAAGAATTGAAAAAAGGATTATATAAACATAAATCTGGATACTCTTCTTATTCAGGATGTAAACACGTTTTGTTCATATCGTAACCTTTCATGGATATCTGTTATATACAGAATTACAAGCACTGTCAATAATTATTTCTGTTAGAAGTAAGTAATGTAAAGCTTGCCATGCTAACGTTGAAAACAGTAAATGTCTAAACATTTCAAGTTAACGCATTCAATGTGGATAATATATTAATGATTATGTGGATAATGTTATATAACGAGGATAAAGTTTTCCGGAGCTTCTAAAATATTAAAAATAGCATAAATAGGTATATTTTATCCACAATTAATCGTCTTCGATTTTTGGGAAGAATTTATTAATATCTGTAGAATAAACGACTTTTATGTAAAAATAAAGAGGTAGAACACATAAATTGATATTTATTTACTCTATTCTTGAATAACAAAGATAATAAAATGTTTCGAATTCTCGAAACTGAAAACATTTTGAGTATCAACTGGTTTCAAGCGTTCTATCCCTAGTTTTTGATAATAATATTATTGAGAGTCTAGAAACATTAAAAAACTAGATTATAACATGTAAAAAACAGTCTTGGAAAAACAATACAAAACATGTTCTTGCAAAAGGAATCATTTTTACCATCGTAAACAAAGAACGTTTACGTATATGTTTATACGACCTTTTACATTTTTGGTTATCAAAGTAGGATCGCTTGTTTCATTATCATTTTGTATATGCGGTTATAAAAAATTATAATTTCAAGTTTCTCACTTTATGTCATTATCCTCCAAGCCGTCGCAAAGAGAAGAAGCCAAAAACAGGTTCCCTTTTGATTTTAGGAAGGACATCATAATTTATAACATCCTAAACACAATTTATTTCTTTTGTGAACATAACGCAATTATTTAGCAAATTGTTACATTCTTGCGACGATCGTTAAAGTATAACATTTATCAATTACATATATAATTTAATATTGATCGTAAATGATGAATAGAAAAAGAATAAAACATTTAAAAACACAAATCTAAATATATTAATAGAAATACGTGTAAAATTATGATCAATTTACATTTGATATATTTTATATTTATTCGGTGCTTGAGAGAAACATTTTGCAATAAAAGTACTTTAAATGTATTTTATAACTTTTTAATACGCGATTAATATTTTTAGAACATTAAATACTGAAATAATTTTCAGATTCTGAAGGAACATTTTGAAAATGTAAACAACATCGATAACTCGATAACTATATTAAAATTATCGAATATATGTTCAAAGAATAAAATACAAAATAGGCAATTAAATATCTCATCCAAAACATTCTCTTTCTATGTACAATCGTGGAATTACGTACTTCAATCTCCTCACCTTTTGTGTTTACTAACAAATGTATTGTCGGTTCGCAATTCAAAGACGAAGCGCCTGTGGTGACCACAGATTATTTCAGTGACACAGATGGCATAATAGACTTCGAGATACGAGATAAACCCCTCCATAAGATAGCGGCTGTTACGTCGGGATTGTGGCTCCCGTCAAAACAGCGATTAGGGTGCCATCTATGGAAGCTCGCTGGAGTTGAAGATTTGCTACTTTCTATGGATTAAGAAGATTCCTTATTCCTTATTTGTTTCCTCTGTTTCATTCGATATTTGTTATTTTGAAAAGCAAAGAATTCGTTCATTCTGTCTTTGGTTCTTAACGAACAATCATGTAAACCTATTTGTTAATAAAATATTTAATTGACATATTAGTTTAATTTGGCATAGAGTGGCGGCTGTTACGTCGGGATTGTGGCTCCCACCAAAACAGCGATTAGGGTGCCATCTATGGAAGCTCGCTGGAGTTGAAGATTTGCTACTTTCTATGGATTAAGAAGATTCCTTATTCCTTATTTGTTTCCTCTGTTTCATTCGATATTTGTTATTTTGAAAAGCAAAGAATTCGTTCATTCTGTCTTTGGTTCTTAATGAACAATCATGTAAACCTATTTGTTAATAAAATATTTAATTGACATATTAGTTTAATTTGGCATAGAGTGGCGGCTGTTACGTCGGGATTGTGGCTCCCACCAAAACAGCGATTAGGGTGCCATCTATGGAAGCTCGCTGGAGTTGAAGATTTGCTACTTTCTATGGATTAAGAAGATTCCTTATTCCTTATTTGTTTCCTCTGTTTCATTCGATATTTGTTATTTTGAAAAGCAAAGAATTCGTTCATTCTGTCTTTGGTTCTTAATGAACAATCATGTAAACCTATTTGTTAATAAAATATTTAATTGACATATTAGTTTAATTTGGCATAGAGTGGCGGCTGTTACGTCGGGATTGTGGCTCCCACCAAAACAGCGATTAGGGTGCCATCTATGGAAGCTCGCTGGAGTTGAAGATTTGCTACTTTCTATGGATTAAGAAGATTCCTTATTCCTTATTTGTTTCCTCTGTTTCATTCGATATTTGTTATTTTGAAAAGCAAAGAATTCGTTCATTCTGTCTTTGGTTCTTAACGAACAATCATGTAAACCTATTTGTTAATAAAATATTTAATTGACATATTAGTTTAATTTGGCATAGAGTGGCGGCTGTTACGTCGGGATTGTGGCTCCCGTCAAAACAGCGATTAGGGTGCCATCTATGGAAGCTCGCTGGAGTTGAAGATTTGCTACTTTCTATGGATTAAGAAGATTCCTTATTCCTTATTTGTTTCCTCCGTTTCATTCGATATTTGTTATTTTGAAAAGCAAAGAATTCGTTCATTCTGTCTTTGGTTCTTAACGAACAATCATGTAAACCTATTTGTTAATAAAATATTTAATTGACATATTAGTTTAATTTGGCATAGAGTGGCGGCTGTTACGTCGGGATTGTGGCTCCCACCAAAACAGCGATTAGGGTGCCATCTATGGAAGCTCGCTGGAGTTGAAGATTTGCTACTTTCTATGGATTAAGAAGATTCCTTATTCCTTATTTGTTTCCTCTGTTTCATTCGATATTTGTTATTTTGAAAAGCAAAGAATTCGTTCATTCTGTCTTTGGTTCTTAACGAACAATCATGTAAACCTATTTGTTAATAAAATATTTAATTGACATATTAGTTTAATTTGGCATGAGAGTCTGCCATAGGATTGTGGCGGCTAACGTCACAGGCGTAGCAAGCGCCATCTAGTTAAGTCACTAGTTTTAGTTAGTTTAAATAAAACCTAAGTCACTAATTGGTAGTATTAGATTTAAATTGGCGCACCCCCTTTCTTTCGACCCAAGGGTTTTTAGGGCCCAGTTCTGTTCGATGCCTCGACAAAGCTAGAAGAAAACAGTATTGCGCGTAAATAAAGGCTTTAATCAACACAACAACAGAATTGAACTTTATATATCTGAAGACTCTCCCAGCGCGAACCTATCCACCACAGAATTCCGTTGGTATTGGTAAAAAGGATTTCCCTAGACTTGGTTGGATTTTTCTCCGGAGGCGGCGCTGCGATCTGCTGGTTGATTCCCACGTAGCGGCATGGCTTCTCCTACGATAAGGCGGTGTTGCAATTGGCGGCTGATGTCTCGATCTCGATTGGCGGAGCCTGAAGTTTAGAAATTACAGTTAATCTGCCTTAATCTTTCAAAAGAATTACATATTTCAATAAAAAACTCATTGTAAGTCGAAAAGAAGACGAAATAGAACATATGTTTATATGAATATTTTTACCATTTTCATATGGAGAACCAATTACTTATACCCAATATATGTTATATATCTATATATTAATTTTAATATATAAGTACTAGTTTACTATTTAAATTTGTATTATGTTTTAGTACTATTGTACATACAATCTGCATTTTCACTGGTTTATACTTTGAAAAGTAAAAATATAATTAGGAATAAAAACGAGTTGTACGTTCATGGGACAAACTTTTGTTTAAAATATTTTATATATTCAGTAAAACGTTTACTTAAAATATGAATTGAAAGTAAGTTTACCCATTTATTATTTCCTGTTTAGTACATTTTGGTAGTACAATCCAGTTTTCATATCTCATATTTTAATCTTGAGGATATACAACGCCGACTTGCTTTCTGATCTCGTCCTCCAATTTAGCAATGAGCAATGAATCATTGTGTGAAACTTTCGGGCTTTCGATCATACCTAAAATGTATAAGAAAAATTAATACAAACAATATTTTAAAGGCTCTCTATAGAATTGTTTGTAATTATGATCAAGTAAAAATATGGAAATGAAATTTAAATTTTCATTTAATGCGGGGTAGTGAATTTCACGAATTCAAGTGAGAGAAGGAATGAGAATGAGTGCGAGTCAGTTGTCTTATATTTAACAACTGAGCTCACTCAGAACTGTTTAACTTCCAAGAATTGATAAGGAATAACAATGGACGCTAAAGCAGGCAAAAGTGCAGACGCCAAAGCGGATAGCAGTGTATTTTACAATATTTATTACATTATTATGAGTAAATTAAACATATTATGCAGAGTATTGCGTTTAGCTTGACCACTTTAAATATCTTTGTTAGTGTCGATGATGAGTAGTAAAGTGGTCAACCATACCAACGACAGTGGCGGTTCTAATCGACAGAGTCCGGTACCACGCGTATTTGAAACTACATACAGGGTGTCCCGTAAATAGTGTAAGAACCGGAAATGGGGGGTAGCTGAGACGATTCTAAACAACAATTTCCTTTGCAAAAATGTCGGATGGAGCTTCGTTTTTGAATTATTAACGAAAAACACTGACCAATCACGGCGCTCGCCTTCCGCGCGCTCAGGGCCTGTCATTTATATCTGTTTTATGATATAAATGATATTATTCTGTTTTTAAATATGAATTAAGAATTCTTTAACAAAAAAATCTGAATAAAATTACGCATTAATAGCCATAATGTTACGTTATAGCTGTAAAAATATAAACATGGTCACGTAAGTAATTAGACAATACAAAGCTTTTTCACCATTTTTTATTTTTTTGACTACGTTCCACACCTTCGAAAAATCTGAAAAAATTAGAGATTACTAATTCTTCCGAGAGCATTATACTGTATAAAAACGAACGTGGTCACTTGATAACTTCGACAAAAAATCGCCGGTTAAAATATTTTCGAATTTTTTAAAAATCGAATTTGCTTCCAAAAATTCTGAAAAAATTCTCGGCTATGTACATCAATCGGTAGAATAACCATGATTTTTTTCATAATTTTTAATTGAGCAGAACGGAAGATATTAAGGATAAACCAAAAAATGATTTTCACCCCGTAATTACCGGGTTGAAACTCTGTGAAAAGGGGTTTTTTTGAACCACCTATCGAGTGGTATTAACCCTGTTCAATTTTGTTTGGAGGCACTTTTTTTTACCATGCTTATTCGGCTAGACCCTTTGTTGTGGGTAACAAAGGAGTGGAGGAGGGGAAGGATCCAGAGTAGCCGGCTCTAGATAGATAAAAGCACAGGAGGTTGTTTGAAAAGCTGTTTCGAATCATTGATTAGTTGGGTAACCTTTGAATCGATGATGATGACTACTGACAACGCTCAAAATTAGATAGTATGGCGCATTTGGCGGGGGCGCACATGCGTGAGTAGTAAGCACTTAATTTCAGGATCTACCTCGTACATCATTATATTTTATATTTACGATACCTTTTAAAATGCACTTGCGGGCTTCATCAGCTTCGTATCTCAATCCAGCACTATTAATAAAATTGAATTTTTGGCCACCCTCCGGGAGTGGTACATCGACTACAGTACCACTAGGGAGCGATACTGTTGTAGGGCACCAAAATTGCGGGATTATTATCGTTCCTTTTGTTCCAATTACATAAGCTTCGTTCGGTAAAGCAGCCAGGGAACTGGTGATAATAGTCGCAGTACGATTTTTCTTGTAATAGAAACTCGCAGATACATATTTATCGACGCCTTCTTCGTTTAAACAACCACTAGCTTGTACAGAATCAGGTTCATCGTCATTAAATACGAAACGGACGAACTGTATTCCATATACACCCAAGTCTAATATCGTACCACCTCCTAATTCTTTTTTCCTAAACAGAGAAAAAAATAAATTTTTCAATGTGGTGTTTTTCACATGTGGTGTCTTCTAATAGAAAACAGGATGAATAAATATGTACACAAGAGCGTTTTGAAGATTCTACTGGAATAAAACTCGCATTAAACAATTAGAAGGAATCGGTAGATAAGATGAAAACATCTCAATCTACCATTTATCGACAATTGAAAAAACTGGAAATAGTCACAAAGTAATTTAACAGAAACAAATAATACGGATAAGGTGGTAGTCGTAGTTCGTTATGAATCGCTAAAGCATAACGAAACAGTTGTAACAGCATTATACGTTGAATAATTGACTAGAGAATAAGAAAAATTGGATGACCAGCACTTGTCGTTTGTAAGGCTGCTGTGCTTTTCCATGTCAACGCTAAACCATGTATGGCAAGTCACCCAAGAAACAATTTTGGAATTAGGACAACCTGTTTTACCTCATAATTAAAATATTTTACACGTTTAACACTTTACCGACCGATAGCCTATTAATCGACTGTTTTACCGGCCAACGCTTACCGACCGATAAAACAGTTGATTAATAGGCTATCGGTCGGTAAGCGTTGGTCGGTAAAACAGTCGATTAATAGGCTATCGGTCGGTAATGTGTTAACAATAAGTTGTTAAAAAATAATATTCACGCGTTCTGCAATTTTAAATATGGAATCTGACATACGTAAAATTGACGGCCTCCGTAAATCTAGTGTTAATGAAATTGATCACAGAATAAACGTAAAATAAATGTTGCGAACGTACATAAGTCTTTGCACTTCCGCTAAATCGAATCCAAAAGTTACCAGAACTTGGTGAACTTCTCCGATACTTCCAGAGTCAATCTCTTTTCTAACAGCTTCGTAAACAGGAAAACATCTGCTCCAAATAGCTTCCATCAGAAATAATTTCTTCTGCTTCGCTAAATTAATTAATTCCGTTGTTTGTTTTAAATTCATTGTTAAAGGCTTTTCGCACAAAATATGTTTTCCATGATTCAACATTAGTTTTGCAATTTCAAAATGTTGAGGATTTAACGCTCCGATGTATACGATATCTGCAACAAAGGATAAGCACAAAATGCATGATAAAACATTTTTCATATAATATTTTGCAATTTTATAAAATATTTATGTAAATCATGCTATTTAAAATGGCATATGCAATTCTTAATTTTCAAAAATTTCACCCATATCGTCTATTATTGCACTGGTTGTTATATAAAATAGAATTTAAAAATGATGTATGGATTTGTCAATAATACTTATGTTGGATAGATTAAGACAGAACAGTCTTAATATGGTTTACTCTTCACTTTCAAATCACCTTCGTGCAAACTTTTCTTTAATCTCTTTATTACACATCTTCAGAATTATCATTATCTTATCAGATAAGATATATAAATTACACATTACTATGGATGTGTGTATAGATAGAGTTATCAAATGCTTTAGAACTGTGATGACATTCGTAGGAGTTTTTGGTCATGCACACTGGTGCGCATGATCACTGCCGTATACACTTAACTAGAATTTAGGGTACCGTTGGATCCCAGTAAGGAAGTTACAGGGAAAGAGACAAACACAAAAAATTTCCTCTTAATCTACACGAGTATAGCTAGAAAAATACGTAGGGGATCTTCGATAAGTTAATTTGGTATAAATCCACCTTTAACTGTACCTAAATACCCGATATGACTTACCAATGTCTTTGTTCTCAGCTAATTCTGTATAACTGCCATAAGCTTCTTTAATTTTGTGTAGTTTAGCAAAGGCTTGAGCTCGTGACAGGTCCCTTGCAGCCGCAGCAACAATCACATGTTCAGATTCTGGTAATGTTCGTAAAGCCGTTACAAAATCATGAGATATGTTTCCAACGCTTACAATACCCCATTTAGTAGCCATCTGAAATAAAAGAAATTAATTAATTAATTAAAAGTTACAGGCTATTTTCTAGTATGTATTATTTTAGTCTGACTTTTAAAGTTGAATTTAACCGATTACATTTAACATATGTTATTTTCAATGTACGAAGTACATGAATCTGGATGATACTTTTCGTAAAAACAGTCAAAACATAAAAATTTCAAGCACCACGTACATCTGATGAAAGTTCTGTTTTCACAGAAACTACAAAATTTTGTATTTAATTTTGATGGAAATGCTTCATTTACATTGATAAAATGTAAACGATTGATAGTCGTACCTTGTACTTCGTACTTTTTACCTTATACTTCAGGTAAAAAGGGATATAACTGGGTAAAACAGTTTTATGACATTACCTGCTAACTCATGTTGCTGTTCCAAAATGAAACGCTATGTTTTGTACCTTTAAAAATTTTAAATCCAACCCATACTTTGTATTAAACTGGCAAACGAGATCACTTTTCCTTTGTTTCTAAACGGTTCGATGGTGGAGATCTCGTGACTCCAGTTGTATAATACTTTTGTTAGCTCGTACGTACATTAATCAAAATTGATGTATCTACGAGCTCTTTTTTCATTACATTAGTTTAAACATTTCAATGTTGCACAATGTCATAATTAAATAACAGTTTTTTACATTTCCCTTCAGAGGGAAGAGACCACCACCTTCTCGTAATTTCCATTGAATTTTGATGGATCGATACAACTATTTTTATATGCAAAGTTAAGCCAAATCAAACATATAATATTTAGTTTGCCATAACAAATTGATACGGTTATCTCAAAACATATCGAGGAAAATCATTATTAATTAATTTCTGCAATTATTAATTCTACTGTTTTGTTTATGTTATAAAAATGCCACAGCGTGCACAATACTGGCACAGAGTGGACTCTCATTTTAATTTATTTATTTTCAATCTTAAAGTATTTCGATTTTCAAAAATCGTATTAATAATATACATATGTACGCTCATACATGGGAATAATAAAAAAAAAATTCTTTTTTTTCAATAATTAAAATATGATCAGGGGGTCTTAAAACGTCTATTTCCGAAAAATAAATTTTACAAAATTTTTACAAAACTATATGTATAAATGCTATATGCAATTCTTAATTTTCAAAAATTTCACCCGTATCGTCTATTATTGCACTAGTAGTTATACATGTAAAATAGAATTTAAAAATGGTGTATGAATTTGTCAATAATACGTATGTTGGATAGATAAAACCATCTGTTTTTGCAGAATATTTTATTGGTTGATATAGACAAAGTTCTATTAATATCGCATCATTTGATATAAATGGTAATTTGTTAATCGATATTTGTCTTATAACTATCCTCCATATTTCTCTCGTGTATATTTTGCTGCATTTACAGATGATTAAATGAAATATTTGTCGCATTGACTGTATCTCGTATGTTAACACTACAGACTTATAGTTCGTTAATAATTACTCAATATCATGACTTGTTCGCTTATTAAATAATATATAGCTGAAAATAGAACTTACTTTACATATATCTTAAAAATTATTGCTAATATTAAACTTGACGTACTGCGAGGCTTTAAGTTGAAATTAATTGTTATATCTTACAATTAGTAAATAAGCAAAGTTCTAAAAACTTATTATTAGACTGATCTTTATGCAAATTCACATTTTTATTAATAGAATTAATGAAACGGAAGCTTCGCAGAGGGCTGTCTCAACCCCTAAATATAATAATTCGTATCTTACTTTAAGTATTTCTTATATTTTTGCATATTAAATGCATTCTGTAGTTTTTTCAGGATTAAAATTTCCCATAAATGCATAAACAGCCGCAGTCTACTTATTATTATGTTATATGCACTATAATTCTGTATATTTGATTTTTATATAAAGGTGTGCAAATTGTTACGCTTCACAAAATATTTCTATTTGTTTATTTGTTTGCAAAAATCTAAGATAGTTGTGGTTTGGTAGGCATTTTTGTATTATTAATTTGTTATTAACCAGATATTACCTTTGATCATTTGATCATAGTTTTACCTGTTTCTATTACGTCTTCCTTTCTTCCGTCAGTTTCTTTTTGTTATGAGTTTACGTAACATGTGTTATACTTTAACATCTATTTAGACCTCAATGAATAGTTCTGTATTTGTTGTACTTAAGGAAGGAGTCTCATGTGAAAGTATATATATTTAAGAATGTACTGTTAAATTTTGAAAGATAAATGTCAAGTATTGTGGATTGTAAAACATATTTTGTATAGCCCTTGCGGTAATTATCAGAGTCATTGCTTTGGGTGATTACCTTGAACAGCCTTGATATTACTGTTTCAAAAGGTTTACGACAGGGTCAAGAAACATCTGCTGTTACTAAACGTCGAAATTTGAGCGTTGTTGTCACCTGGGTGGCAATATTCTGGAAGGAATTCTATATAGAGCTGGGATTTATGAGTACGATCTTGCAGACTAAATGCGTTTCTCTCGAAACATTACTTTCTCAACTGGCATAGATAAAATCTGAAAAACTATACGTTCGATTGCTATGAAATTTTTACACGTTCTTCCACATACTAACAATTCTCGCCCGTAGCAAAATCAAATTGTTATAATGAGTTTCTCATATATTTTTGATTAAAAAGTTGCAAAAGAAACGACGAAATTTTGCAATTTTTACTTTAAGCTTCCACCATTTTGTCAATTTGCAACATAAATTAATTATTTTGGTACGGACGATAACTGTAAACCTACAGAATATAAATCTTTTTTATTTTTGTGATTTAGTCAACCTTGAGAGCTGCAATCACCTAGGTCAGTGCGTTAACACATGTTTACTGCGGACGTGATAACAATATTAAAAGTTAATAGAAACTAATAAAAAAATTATCTTGTATTCCCGAAGGGTAGCTAAATAAACTGCAAAAATGATTCATAACGTCAGATGTAATATTTCCTTAAAAAAAAATTAAGAAAAATGGTTCAATTTTCTATCGTTCACATGAGTGATGCAGTTACATTTTTCTGATGCACCAACGCACAAAAGTACATCAAATTAGTTGCATATTACGCATAGTCTGATACCATTTAACTTTGACTAATAACATATGTTTCTATTCCCAATCGTTTAGGAGGTACAGTATTTTAAAATAATGTATAAATAATTTCTAAATGTTAAGATTTTGATCAAAACATTATTTATAAAAGAAAACCGGTATTACCTATTTTTTATAATATGAATATAATAATTTACACACCTCTGGAAGTGTTTTTTACAACAAATATTTTACAATTGAATATCGTCAAATTAATATTATAAATAAAAAATAAATTGTGATAACTTACAATGTTTACGAATGTATAGTAAACTATAGAAGTTGTTTCACTTGATCCTTATTGTCTTTTATGTTGTACACGACAGAACAGTCTTAAGATAATTTACACTTGACTTTCAACTGACCTACGTGCAAACTGTTTCCTTTAATCTCTTTATTACACATCTTCAGAATTATCATTATCTTATCAAATTAAATATATATTAATTACACATTACTATGGATGTGTGTACAGATAGGGTTATCAAATGCTTTAGAACTGTGATGCATATTCGTGGGGATTTTGGTCATGCGCACTGGAGCGCACTGGAGCACTGCCGTATACACTTAACTAGAATTTAGGGTACCGTTGGGTCCCAGTAAGGAAGTCACAGGGAAAGAGACAAAAACAAAAAATTTCCTGTTAATCTACATGAGTATAGCTAGAGAAATACGTAGGGGATCTTCGATAAGTTAATTTTTGTGTGATTGGCGAGCATTTGAAGTAGAAAGTTCAATTTTGTACTAAACATAGGAATTCTCAACATGCATCTCTTTTTGCGCCAAAGATACATCTATGGTAGCAGACGACAGGTAGCAGTAACGTTAGCTTACGCATGCGCAAAAAGGAATCACGACGAGGGAAAATTCTATTGCGCATGCCCAAAATTCCCACGAATGTCCATCACTGGCTCCCGCCATATTCATTTAACTTCTGCTTGCATTCAACGTATCTTCCTTCCACGAGAAGAAAGCACAGCGTGTTTACATCCCCACTCTTGCCGCAGTCCGCTGATTGGCTGTCACCGATCTTCGTCATCGTTTTCGACCAATGCCTGCGAGTCAGCGGACTGCAACAGGAGTGGGGATGTAAACACGCTGTGCCTTCTTCTCGCGGAAGAATGGTAATAATGTGACACATATACATATCTACAGGGTGTCCAAAGCAACTGAGAAAAGCTACATCTCCAGAACGGTTAAAAATACAAAAACATGTCACAAGGCATAATTAAACGGCATTGAACGATGCACAAATTGAATGTAATTTCATTCATTTTTATACATCGATGCATCTGTATTCTTTTTTTAAATAGAACTCTATAATTTTGATTGCCCTATTTGATGCAGTTTTTTAATCTCTACAAAAAATATTCAGGTACGTATACCCTAAATCTAATAGCTCAAGAGTCATATCACCTTAAAGTTTACTAAATTATTTTGGTAGATGTTATGGGACATATTGCTGCAACAAATGTTTAAACATTTTTCATTCTTCTCTTTACGTCACGTAACACTTTTGCCATGTCCTTTGATAACTTTCGATATTTCTAAACGTATACAATGTTAAACATTTTAATTCTCATGAAACAATCAACAAGAAAGTTAATTTTCGATATCCAAGAAACAACTAAATAATTTATTCAAATAAAATATGCCCAACTCGGGCCGGCGAGAAATATTTTCTTAACCTGTTCGAATTACAAAATGTTCCACTGCTCTCTATGGATGGGTTTTTCTTCAAAAATTGCTATGGATTCTGATAATGTAAATTTGTACTAGACGAGCAACTTTTAGTAAAAATATAAAAATAATGCCAAGAAATTTTCGTTTCGGCGCTTTTCGAAACTTCGATGCTCGTTAAAAATTTTTCTCTATGTTTTAAGATTAGTGCCAGATTCGTGTTTAGGATGACTGCGGGATGACAGATTCTGCAAAGAACACCTAATGAATATTGCAGAAGAAAATTTATGTCCGAGAGTGTTGTTAGAAAAACGATTCGAGTCAGTCGTTGGTTATTTTTCCGATAACATTTCGCCCGATTCTGCACAGCTGTCGTTTATAGTGAATTTTTCATTCAGAACTGGCCCTGACTTTCGATACTTTGATACGAATCACGCGATCAACCCTCTAGTCAAAACCCTGGTGCAACGTTAGTGGGGGGTAAGAGGGTTGGTGGAAAATTTGACGCTAGGGGTGCCGTTACAAGCGCGAGCGCCATCTACTTGCTCAGTGGCTGACTATCCTCTGAAGACCTGTGTACTCGCGATCGTATTACCAGATTATTGCGACATTTCGTGTGACAATTTGATTCAGTGTATCGTGATATAATAAAGTGACGAGTGTATGCTGTAGAACGGATACAAAAAGGTAATTAGTAACAGTAATTGAAGTATTTGTGAAAAACACTTTATTCGAGTGGCTGCCATCCTCAATGCCAGACACGCGTTAACGTGTTGGATCGATTTCTCTTTCTCGCAAGTCGTGATACGATGGGAGACTTGGATAGAAAACTACGGATTGCAGTTCTTTTTAACTGTTACTTTCTTACCCGAATCTTACGTCCCGTGGACACATATTTTCATTCCCCATCATATTTCATCGAAAATGGACAATTCGACGTTGGAAGAAGTCAAGTTCACCCTTGAAACATCTAGATAGACGCCTACAGTCAAAGGCCTCTATTCTGTTTTTCCTAGAAATTTACATAAAAAATCTTCTAATATATTCGTCAATTTAAATTTGTTCCAAGCAGCTATTTTTATTCTCATCGTATTCTCATTTTTTTTTAACACAAATACAAATAGGATTTTCCGATCAATTTCCACTTGTGATTTTTAGCATGTTACAGGAGATAAATTCGATTTTTTATACGTAAAGTTAGATTTAGACATATTATATCGTGTTTCTTACCATATGTATGTACGAAACGTTTCATTCTGTAATATTCATAACGCTCTCGTTTCTAAACACAAGTACATACAAGTAATTGTGCGTTCTACTTTCGTTGAAAAAACTCACAAGAATAATCGTGTAAAATGAATGTTTTCTTTCTATTTTACAAATGTGGATTTTTTTAATTCGACGCTACGAAAATTTGATTCTGTTTTGTGAAATGGAAACTGATGTTGCATAAAACATATTTTTCGATTCTCGGTCCATAATTATTTAAAAGTGAATATAGCTTCGGATTAAAAATATTGGCGTTTCATTTGGATAAAAACTTTGCAAAACGTATACACGTAAAGTTTACCGATTTGTTTTAGGGGTTAGAAAATTTCTGATCTGGATATTATAATTAAAAAAAAAATTACATTTAAATAATAAGGTTCAGGTTTTCCATGATTTAAAAATTGGAATTTCGAGTATTTCTCAGGATAACACAAATTTTAATGATACTTTGATCCACAAGTGAATAGATCGAAACTAAAAAAATGTATTTTGCATTAATTATCCGTCAGAAATTTATATAATTTATAATTATTTTACGTAAACGTTTCCTGTATTTCGTTCACCGTGCAACTAGGTCATCAATATTTTTTTTATTTTCAAAATAAAATAACGTTCATTACAATTATCGTTCAATAAACAAAATATTAGTTTCTCGATAGAATTGCCAATGCAAGAACAATCAAATTTTAAATATTGTATGTTTGGAGAAATACGCGAGATATTTCATCTTAAATATTATAGAATGCATGTTATCAAACATTTATCCGATAATTCCTTTTAAATATACTCTTTGCGTTCTGTATGCAGACAAGTATATAATTTTAGTTATTAGTTTCATCTTGATTCCGGACTTAATTATTATGCAATGTTGATCGAGTTAGGATCTATAAATGCAAAGATTAAAATTGAATTTGTCAGAAATAGGCGACATGCTTAAATATTTACATTTCAAGTAAAAAAAAAAACTTATGTAAAATAATTTTATAATTAATGTGTGTGGCAGTGTCTTTAAATGGACATTTTATTTTAAATTAATTTTCTTTAACGATACATTGAAAATAGATAATTCTCGAGACAATTTTTTTTACCAAAAACAAGTATTAAAAATGTAAGAAAATCGTTCTATTGTACGATATTAAAGTTGTATCAGTATTATCACATTATACGTACATACGTAAAACACATTAACAACATCGTCATTTTAATATTCTGTTATATCGACTGTCGTGTTAATTCCATTGTGTACATTATTTAAAGTATTGTATAAGCATCACACACGTACGACGCATTTATAAAATTTGTTGTAAACGTGTTTATTTCTAAACTTCAGACGCACGATATGAACGTAGAGAGTTGTTCGCGATCGAGGAATCTATGTCACTTTTTCGTGAAAAGAGTTACAAAATTCCAAAATGTTATACTCAGCAACGAATGATATTATTGTTTCGATTGAAAGATAATTCGAATGAATATGATATTTACAGACATACAATAGATGAAAACATACGTCGTGTGTACTCTGTTCGTTACACGTCCAAAATGTAGTATCGTGCAAGCGAAACACATGCATATCTATGGCTACACCGTAAACTTACAGTGATAACCAGAAGAGGGGGAATTTAACGCGTTGTATCATAGTTGGAGAACACTATACCAGGTCCACAAAACTCCTGCTCTACATACACATATACAGGGTGTCCCACGCAACTGGAACAGGCTATACAGTATTGTCTCTATAGAAGCGACGCTCTCGGGGCTCAATGCTCGGCTATCGCGTGGACGAGAAACGATTCTTGATACATTGTTGACGCCTACTGGACGCGGCGAGTGTAGAAAAGAACAGAGAGCATATGACAAAGAGGGACTGAGCGGCCGAGTATCGCCGAATTTGCTATCGTTTCCTTCGCTTCGAGTCGGCTGTAGCGAAACACAGGCGATGTTTACGCGAGCCTATACGAAATCGGTGTTCTAATTCCGACCTCTACCTCTCTCGGTACAGGTCGCAGAATGAAATACTGATTCTGTATAGGCTCCCGTAAACATCGTCTATGGGTGACAGGACTTTTAACAGTAGAACTGTAATAATGAATTCTGAAGTTGAAATGTTAAAGAAAATAAATTTTAATGAGGTTACGAAAGCAACTACTACGACAACTTTTAAGTTGTGTAGTTTACAATTGTCTAAAATGAAAGTTTTGGTCCCATGAACAATTTTAGGATTTTAGACTGGTAGTCAACGTGTTAATGTGTATTCATTACTGCACTTTAATCACTCCACGTGAACACAATATACTGCTTGTTAATTACGTTTTACCACGGCACGTGTTCTAACCTAACCCATGACCATGTTGAGAATTCTACCGAGTTTATGCTTTACTAGCTAATAATTATTACAAAAACATTGGCACAATAAACTAAATAGTAAAACTTGCTTAATATAAGACACAATACGGAAATTATCACTAATTATTTTGGATTAGAATAACGAATAAATAAACACAGTCTGTCTCTCGTAGCCGCCATCTTGGCACTCGCCCACCTGTGTTTCGATACAGCCGACGTGGAGTCACCTGAACGATGCATGCCTTTGATCGCTTATTGCGTTAGTAAGAAGGATCTAAATTGTATATCGTACTTGGTGTCATTTTAATCAGAAAAGTGTCACGAATATGTCGATGAAGTTTGAAAAAAATAAAGATGAATTTCGTTGTTGATTAAATATTGTATACGTACTAGTTAAATCGTGTCATAACTTCAGTACATATATGATGTATCGCTCGTTTACTGCAGTAGTGATATGACTCGAAAAGATACAAATTGCGAATTTGAACTGTTTAACTGTTTAAAATTAAAAAAATTCAAATCGTTCTGGAAAAATTATTTCCTGTTGCAGGGGTCAATTATAATCATTTTTTGTTATTACGATTAACCCCGAGATCCTACGCACTTTCGAGAAAAAAATTCCTTACCGAAAATCTAATTGGCCGAATTTTTCGACGGAAAAAACAAATTTCAAATCGTTCTGGAAAAATTATTTTCGGTTGCAGGGGTCGAATACAATCATTTTTGGTCATTAGACATACACTCGAAATCCTACCCACTTTCGAGAAAAAAATTCGAAAAAATGTGAAATTGTTCGACAAACTTAAAAAATTTCAAATTGTTCTGGAAAAATTATTTACCGTTGCAGGGGTCGATTACAATCATTTTTGGTCATTAGATATATACTCGAAATCCTACCCACTTTTGAGAAAAAAATTCGAGAAGGTGTGAAATTTTTCGACAAAATTAAAAAATTTCAAATCATACTAAAAAAATTATATTTAGTTACAGGAGTCAATTACAAGCATTTTTGGTCATTAGACATACACTCGAAGTCCTACCCACTTTCGAGAAAAAAATTCGAGGTGTGTAATTTTTCAACAAAATTAAAAAATTTCAAATCGTTCTGGAGAAATTATTTTCGGTTGCAGGGGTCAATTGCAATAATTTTTGGTAAATAGTCCTACCCCCGAAATCTTACCCACTTTCTAGAAAAAAATTCATTACGGGCGGAACTTTAAACGTTAATAACTTTTTAACGAAGCCTCCATTAACAAATTAGTATTCTTGATTTTCGTTTTATTTTGGCCTCTAGAATCTCCCATTAAAATTTTTCCCAGGGGTTACCTATATGTATACACAGATTGAATGAAACAAGGGATGCATTCCAAAGCTTCGTTTTTAAGTACTGGAAAATTTTATTTCCGGCATTATGTTTGCAAAACAAACTTTCTACCGTAATTAATATGTATATGTATACATATAATATACGTGTATTTTAATATTTAAACACAAATAAAAATATTACCCTTAAAAATATGTCATATACTTATACATGAATACAATTCGTTTTCTATTAGGGGAAAATTACGTAATTAACACCTTCTAATTATAATAATGTACATGTATGCATTATCTTGCATTTCGATTAATACAATTAAATTAGAATCCAAGTGTATTGAATAAATTTTTTGTTTTAAAAAATTAAGTAAAATGCTATTTTACATAGTAAATAGTAAATAAATATTTTATTCGTTGAAAAGATTCTTTAAAATAGTATTTAAAATAATATTTTATTTGAAGATTACTAAAAATATTTGATTTTTTTAATTTATTATCTGGAAATAAAATATTTTTATTTTAATAAATGAAATAGTAAAATATCTTAATTTTTTTCAACCGAAGCATAAAATGGAGCACTTCTCCCTGAGAAACTATTTGTTACATAGCTTTACTTAGAAGTAAATAATTAAATTTAGTTTGCTAATATTATTTTTTACATTATCTCTTTCAATAGTTTATTTTCGTATTAAATTCTCTTTTAAATGCGTATTTATTAAACAAAGAGAAAGTATTGTATTTTATGCTTTAGGTTA